ATTTCCCCGACTGGCGGCAGTTAAACGGGGCCTCTCGTTATTGCAGTGACAATCGATCCAAGCCTGGCCGACTTGTCGCGGTGTTGGATCAACCAACGGCATCGTCGCGCTCCTTTGCCGGGCGCCGGCTGAGCGGGTCCGGAGCGGGCAGGAGCCGGCCTCGGCGGGGAGCGGCGCGCGCGGTGATGGGTGGTGGGATGCTCAGAGACGAGAACACGGAAATCAGGCTTTTTAAAACTGCAGTTATGGCCCCAGCTTACGTAAAATCTCTCCCTGAGATGAAATAAAACTTGCTCACCTGTTTTCACCTGTTTTGTTAAGTATGTCCAACCTCTCAACCAAAACTTAACAGAACTGGCTTTTATTGCTCCCTGTGTAAAAGGACTTCTGCTTCCCAGGGAACCGCAGGTCCCGGTGGTTGTGGCACAAGTACGATGGGTTGGGCTTATTCATTTTTGCGTGAGAACAGATAGATCTAATGGCTGTCCGTTGGCTTGCTCGGCGTCACCTCCGCTCCTGTAGCTCCATCCTTCTCGTCTTCGGAAAAGTCACAAAATTATAGCTCCTTTCTCTATTCCAAAACTAGCAACGGGTTAATCTGGCGTTAGGCTTCTGGGCTACAAAAGCGTTTACTCTTAAACCATTTGCTCAACGTGAACCGCTTGGTCCACCACGGTCACCCGCTCCGTAAAGTAAAAAAAGACTTGATTAGAGTCGGTAACAAAATAGCATTTCGTTGTTAAAATAGACCTTGAAACAGTCTCTTTTTTTGTTGGTTTTTTTTTTGTTTTTTGTTTTTTTTTGTACAAAACAGGTACAACTTGCGGAGGCTAAAGGTCTTCCTAATAAATCCGACACGGTCACTACCGGCTACGCGCCCAGGCTGGGCCACGAGTGCCGGGCGGGCCCTCGCCTGCCCACGCTCTCCCTGCCCCGGGAGCACCGGCGCTTCAAGGCTCAGGAAAAGCGACGAGCGGCTGAGCCTGCGGCGCGGGGCGAGGGCTCTCGTTCGCCGGGCGATGCTGCGCCGCGGGGAGCCGGCTCACGCGCCCGCCCGGCAGCGGGGGAACCGGGGCGTCCCCCCGATAGCGTCGCGCCGCGCATCGCCGCGTAGGAGCCTCCGGTTAGCAGGGAGGGATTTCTGCAAAGCGGTACTTGGAAGGTGGTGGCGGTGGTGTGCACAGTGGCGGATTTAATAACGTAAGAGTACACGAGTGTTTAAATTAATACTCAGTAGCACCATTGCTAAAGCTCCTGCATAATACAGCATCGCGAGCCTCCTGGCTGATGCTCGTACAATGATGGGTGGCAATAGTAAAATAAATTCCTCTCTGTGCTCGGTGCTTCCCAAGTCGTACGCGCGTCTGTGAGAATCGAAACGGTAAAGTGTTGTGCGGGCTCCAGGGGTGGGAGCGGCGCGGCCGAGCGCGGGGAGGAGGGGGCCCCGGGGCCTGCGCCCGCCACCCTCCTCCTCCCGGAAAGCCGCCGCCTCGGCCGCGCCGTGCTCTGGGTCGGGAAGGGGGGGGTAGCGTG